ACACATGCTTTCCCTATCTTCATGCAAGGATGACGCTCACAAAGTGGGGGCAATGGATAAGATTTAGCAGTATTTATTCATCAAGTCCAGCGATCAAGTGGATATTGATATCATACTTCATGTCTATTATCAGAAATTATGCATCCATTATGCCACATTGATCATCAAATTAATCACTACAAACTGGATTGAATCCTCTGTCAGTAATTAAGCTAAAAGGACCAGTATTATAGTTGATTAAATCCTGCATAATTTAGTCAATATAATGAAGTAATGAAACCAAGAAAGATACCAACCTGGAAATTCTTGAATAAACTTGCCAAGAAGCTTTTCACTTTGGCCATTCAACCTGCCAGTCCCATAAGAATCAGCAGTGTCAAAAAGATTGATGCCATTCTCAACAGCCAAGTTAAAAGTTTGTTGAAGATCAGTGTCCATTGATTCTTGGTACCCCCATAAAAGCTGGTTGCCCCAAGCCCATGTTCCAAAACCCATTGGAGAGACAGTAAGTGGGCCCATCTTCACCTTCTGCCAAGGCCAGAATGGAGGGAATTTGAGTGGCTTGAAAGGCAAGGATGGAAGGGAAGATTGGTTTGAAGAGTTAAAACAGCTGAAATAGGCTGTTGGTGTGGAAATTGAGATTGCCATGTTGCTCTCCTTTTAGGCTGCTTTCTTGCAGAGATCAGTGGCAAGAAGGGAAGAAGGAACACTTGAAAGAGTTGTGTAGTAGCTGGTTGCTGGTTATGTACTTGCTTTTTTGTGGTCAGTATTCAATGATGGTGTGGATAATAAGATGCTATACTCTCTCTCTCTCTCTCTCTCTCTCTCTCTCTCTCTCTCTCTCTCTCTCTCTCTCTCTCCATATATATATATAATTCATGAATTTTTATGTTTTTATTGAAAAAAATCTCGGTTTCGTTATATTGAATAATCCCTCGTACATATAATCATGAAGATATCCTTTTCTTTTCTCTTTTTATGAAAAATACTAAAATTAATCGGAAAGGGAAAGCGGGATCAAATCTCAAGAAAGTCCTTAATACAAGGATGGATTTAGAAGAAAAAAAAGAGAGTTAAAGGACCTCATTAAAAAAAAAAAAAACAAAAACAAAATAAGATGTGAAAAGTCACAGCTGTGGGATTTGAACCCACGCCCTTTCGGACCAGAGCCTAAATCTGGCGCCTTAGACCACTCGGCCAAACTGTCATTTGTGAGTGAACAGCTCTAGTTTTGATATAATATTCATAAACTATTCTCCAAACTTGAAGATTTGAAGGTTCAAATAAGGATCCTTGAGAACGCTAGGAATGAAGTGTTATTTGTGTCATCTCCAAAGAGGAAATCACGAGAGACAAATAAGGCTACTCTTCCTTTTCCTTTTTCCATTTTCCTTTTTCCTTTTTCATGTGTTCGGTTCCCGTTGATTTTTCTTTCTTACCTGCCGACACTCGTCAACTCTAAATTCATCTTTACGTGACAGACACTAGTTTGTTTATTTGTGTGGCTAAATGGACGCAAATTAACATAATTTATAGGTTTTTGGGGAGTGCAGTACTCACTACTTTTGTTTCTTGATGTGTTTTAAAAAATATATTTTATTTAAAACAAGGAATTGTTGTTTTTTTGAGTGTTTCGTGATTAATTTTAATTTGTTGATATTAAAATTTAAAAAAAAAAAAAAAAACACAACGCATATAACCCTGGATAAATTTTACTTAACAATGGAGTCATAAGGAGCACGCCAGAATAAAAGAATGATGGCATCTATGGGGAAAAAACCCAGCAACCGAGGCAGATGGTCATGCTGAGCAGGACAAAAACTAACTGTCAAAATCAAGGATAGCTCCCTCCCTCCCTTGTCTTCAAAGAAGACTAGGAGACTCTACATCTGAGATGAAAAATCATTAATTCTTGCATCAAATCCTGTCTCTGAGACTGATACAGTCTTTTTTGTCTCTGAACGGCCATGATTACCCACTAAGGTAAAGTCATGCATGTACTTGCTTGCGTGACCCAGCAAAACCAGAACCCTCCTCCTCCCCCTCCTCCTTCTTTATCACTGCATGTCAAAGAACTCATTCTTGCATTCGGCTGTTCTTTCTTTTGTTACGTATGAATCTCTTTCTGTGCTCTATTTGCTTGCTGTTAACGACACTTTGCGAGTGGAAGATGAGTTTGGGGCGGTGAAAATGGGATTGTGTTGTGGTTCTGATTGTCAGCTTCATGAATTATTGCTCCTCCTTTTCTCTTCTTTTCTTTTCTTTAAAAAAAGGGGTTTCCCATGAAGAAATAAATCTTAATTTTAAGATTAAAAAGAAAATGGCAAGTATTTATAATAATTAAAAAGATTTATTAAGTTAAAAAATAAAAGAGTGCTACTAATGGGCCGGGCCATATTTGTGTAGAAAATACTATCCGGCCCAGTAAAAACAAATTTATGGATATCAATAAAGCGGGTACCCACTCCACCTGGCCTAACAATTATCTATTATCTATTATTATTAAAAACACTCGTTAATATGTTTTCTGGGCATCAGTACCCACTTGCTATTTTAAAAACAAATTATTATTCTAAGTACTTGATTGCACAAACTTTATAGTTTAGAGACCTGTTTTTATTTTTAACTTTGAGGACATAAAACTTCAAAATAAAATTATACCAAAATAAATTTTTAAAAAAATCAGATGAATTAAGATTAAAAAAAACATATAAATGTTCAACACGCGTGTCTCAGGTTATATTTCGATTAAGTTTTGAGTCAAGTTTGATAATATATATAATTTATTAATTACTTGTTACGTAAGATTATTATCCAAAACAATCACCAGTTCTATTGAGAATTCAGATTTAATTGACACTCTTGACCAAACTTTGAAATAAAAGATTAATTAAATTGTAACAAGGAATTAATTTTAAAGAATAATATATTTTTTTAAAATGTTAGATGTATTAAAATAAATTTTTTTGGCAAATTGTTCCTCAGTGATAATTAAATTTATTATGTTTTTCTTTAAAACAATTGTTTAAAAATAGGTTAAAATTTAGATTTAATTTTATATTTGATATTAGCTCATCAAATTTATTTGAAAATACTAAAAAATATTAATTTAATATTTTTAAAGTAAAATATACTTTTAAAATACACCAAAATACAAATACAAATATTTTTGAACAAATGATACAAATACAATTCCTTTGAAAAAGAGATTTTAGTTTAACGGAACATTTTGAGCTTTTTGTTTAGTAGTGTGGCTATTTTTTTGTTTTAAGTACGTTTTTTCAAGTTAATTATTTGAGTTTTTTTATCTTGTAAAAAAAACAAAAAAATATTAATTTAATATATTTTTAAATAAAAAACAATTTGAAAAATATCAACCACTACACTAATACAAAACATTACAATCATCACATTTTAATACCATCTTTGAAATCATGCTAGATTTCAGGTACGAATTTGTTAATTTCTTTGATCAGATTTTAGAAAAACTTCATATATCCAGAATATTATTCGTGCATTCAAGATGGATTATTTTCTTTTGATCTCTCCTTCAATTCCAAGCCTCACAAGGCAATAAAACCCACCAGCCGTAAGGGAAAAAAAACAAGGAAATATCAATTAATTTCTTGTCTGGAATTCCTGTTGTTATACCTGTCACTACATGGAATCTGATTCATGGTACGAAACATGACTAACAGGCAGTCATGAACAGTCTTATGTATGCTTTGATTTTCATTTTACCTTCTCTTTTTTTTTAATTTCCTAAAATTAAAGAAGCATATATGATATATATACACACAGAGAAACGTAGAGGATGACATCTATGAGTCATGATGACCAAAATCTAAGGGTGGAAGTCGAAGGGATTCTGTTGCCAAATATATTCTTATTGTTTTGTTGTATTATTTATGAGACAGCAGACTAAAGGGAGAAACCAAATTTTAATACAGCTGGGTTCAAGAAAAATGACCATGACTCATGGACGGCCAGACCCCATATTCTCTCCCTTCTCTCTCCTTTGGGGCCCTTTTTTTCTTTCCAATAAAACTAAATGATTGTTTTCATCATCATGTTTGTTGTTTTGTCCATGGTATTTAGCACAAAACCCTTATTCATTCCCTTCTGTTTCGTCCCTTTATAGCTACATTTCTGTAGAACTTGTTCATCGTCGAGAAAAGAGAAAAGCTTGCCAAGAATTTAGAGAAGATGGTAGCTAGCTAGGAAGCTTAACTTTTGTGGTGAATGTTGTCTGGTTCAAGGCCTGGCCACCACATCTTTTGGTGAATAGGTCCTCGGACCAGGCTTCATTCCCCTCAATTAATGCTTCCATACATGCATGAGTTCTTCAGCTATATATTGCTTGATTGATCATCATCAATTTCAAGATATGGAGGTGATGTGTAGTGTTTTGTTTTTTGTTTTTTGTTTTTTCTTTTATTTGATTTTGGTAATTTATCGGGTTTTCTCTAATTGGATTCAATGTTTTAGTAAATTTCACATAGATCAAGGTTGTTGACTAATTAGTAGCAGATTGGTGTAATGATGAGCCATTTTGACTGTCTTAGATCACATGGGTAGACTCATAAATTTCTATCATTACTTCTTGTTATAAGTATGAAAGATCCAAATTACTATTCAATTATTACTTATGTTTTTCAACTTAGGTTATCATGGGGCTATGAGATTTTGTCAGTTCTCCTCTTTTTCTCCCTTTTCCAATTAACCTTTTTTGTGTTTAATCATCACTGGATAAATGGATTTTCACATGTTCAAATGTTGTTTCAAAGGAAATGGGTGTGCGTCTGCAACTCTCTTCTCGAGCAGTAGCTAGGGTTAGTCTCTCTCTCTTTCTCTCCATGTATACCAATATATTATTCTTTTTATGTTATCTTTTCAGCCTTCTCCCTTTTTTTTAATTAGGTTTAGTGCAGTAATGGCAGGCATGTGATGATCAACTTTCTTCACTCTTGCAGAGAGGTTCTAAAAGAAACGATAAAAGAAATTTTGTCAAAAACTTAGCCTGCAGAACTTGAAAGAACAAAACCCTTTTGAAGACCAAGGCATGCATTCTCTTTTTTTATATGTTATTTCTTGATGGGGGTAACTGGATCTGCAGAGCTATGTAGATAGATTATAGATATTTCGCTGCTCTCTTACCTTTACCAATGTTTATTTTCCAGTTCATTACATATTTATTATAAACTCAACATCATAGAATATATCCATTGACATTTTAGTGGAAGACAAGCAGCTGCACTGAAGATTTGAAGCTGAGTATAGCATGCAGTGGATATATTCTCCAGTATTTGATTCCCATGGCCACACTTTCTTTACTAAAAGAGAGGTATCTTTCTACTTCTATCTTTTCACATCCTTTCTTCTTGTTGACGCAATCAAATTACTTGATTATCTTCTACGCATTTTATTCCCTTTCCAGATCATAGATTTATACCATGTTTACGGCTAAAATCTTGATTAATTGATGTGTTCAAGTTGGTTTTATCCTTTGGAAAAACACAGGACTTGAACTACAAATGGCATGGTACACCTTTCAAATCCCTACAAAGGCAGCATGAAGAAGCTCTGCAGCAAATCTTGTTTAATTGTGTTTTGTTTCTTGTGAAATAGACAAATGAGAAAGCACTGGGATCTAACTCTAGAATATAAAGATGTCTGCACACTGTCGTGGAAGATTTTGATATCTTTGATCATCAGTTACAACTAGAGTTATTGATTTGTTCTGTGCAACTCTAGGGTGAAAACAGTTGCATGGAAAAGGAAAGGTAGTCATGGAAATTCAAGCCATGTCATGCAACATTTACTTTCTTTCATTACTGTGCATGATTTCACTACTTGATCATGAGAATGAGATGCATTCAAAAGGACATTGAAGATGATAATGATGAATATGGCCTTTGTAAGCGTCAGAATCTTTTACTCTGTTGGGTTTTTTAAAACTTTTTTCAGAACATTTCTAAACATACGTCATGAACACCAGCAAAATTCAGATAAAGGCATCTGTCATGTTCCTGTTCTTGGCAAAAACCCCATGACAAAATGTCCAGTTCCAAACTCCAAGGCCTTGTCTTTTAATTGCTAGAACTCTCCTTAGTTACCAGTGATTCCTATGTTTAAACAATCACCATCTACTTGGTGGACTGGTGGTGGTATGTTTGAATCTGATTTTTCAATTTCTTAATTTGTCGACTTTTATCATATAATTAACATATTTTTTATTTTATGTTAATTTTATTTCTTTTAAATTTTGTTCAATAACATGATAGTACTTACTTTTAAACGTATTTTTGACTTAAAAATATACTAAAATAATTTTTTTATTTTTATAAATTTATTTTTAATATTGATACATCAAAACAATTTAAAAACATAAAAAACAATAATTTAAAGTAAAAAAAATATTTTTTAAAATAATATTTTTAAAACACAAAAACAAATAATAGTTTAGCACAATTTACTCCCTTTATTATGGATCTTGGAAGAGTTTAAATTTTGTTGCTTGGATGCCATGGTGATTGGATTTATATAGCATGTGGTAATTTTGCTTTGGTTATGAAAATAGAAAACAAAATTTGTGCGCAGATTTAACATATTTACATAATTAGTTTTTATGCTTAAAATGGAGATAGAATTAATCTCGGGTTTGAATTCAAGAAGAGATCATAATCATTAATTTTTTTTATTATTTATATATAGATCGATGAATGCTATAACTTAGTCTAAGATCATCCCAATGAAATTAAAAAATGATCTTGAGGGGTAAGAGATGACTCGAATGTTTACTATTATTATTATTATAAAAACAATAGCATTTATAATTACAGGAAATTAAGCTCACTGATTATCGGGTTATATACAGTGGAGATCGATCAGGGTGTTAATTAAATCTAAGATTTTCAACTTGAAATTTCTCAATTTAATTTAATCACTAGGCTACCCCTTTGAGCAAGAGATTTTTTCCTTATTGTTGCTTGGAAAGATTAATGAAATTTGGGTCTCCAGCTCTCAAAACCTAACCTTGAAGCTCGGTTTTTTGTTTATTTTTATGGTGCGGTTTATTTAATTTTTATTCAAAATATATTTATTTGAAAGTGTTTCGTTAGTTATAATTTTACATAAAATATATTGAAAAATCTATCTTAAAATATTGATTAAATCAAACAATGATTTATATATTTATTCTTAAACCCTTTTTTTTTAAATTGTAACAGCAAAAACTACAATTGAGGTATTCTCAAGATAAAACAGCCTACGTACATCAAATTAAGAGCTTTGTTTCAAGATCATGAAAATGCCCTCTCTCATGGATTTTAGTATTATTGTATTGTTTGGACCACAACATATATATATATATATATATATATATATATATATATATATATATAGAGAGAGAGAGAGAGAGAGAGAGAGAGTGGGTGGCAGGTGTGCAATGCAGGAAGAAGAAGGTAAAAAAGGGAGAGGCTTTCACTTTTATATACATAGGTCCAACAAAAAGGGATCACTGGAAATGCCATGCCTGGAACCACTTTTCTGCTTTTTTAGTGTAGTAAAATGTAAAATATATATATATCAGCAGAAACAATATATATATATTAAAGTAATGTCAGCTAGCTGACTGCTTAGTTTTAATCTTATTCGATTAACGTGTTCTCAATTAACATGATGCTATCCATGTTAGCATGCAAAGTCCCGACTCCCTCTGCTGCCATTCTACCTGTTCTTCTTCTGGGCAATCATATTATATATATATATATATATATTAATTAGTTCCTAGGTTTTAGAAAATTATTCTTTAATCCCTAGGTTACCTTTGTGTTTGAAAATATATTTATTTATTAGTTCTTGGAGAATTCTATTGTGCTTGTACGAGATGTATTTAATTGGATAAAAATATATGTTTTAAAATAGTTTAGAAATAAGTTTCTGTGTTCTTTATAAAACACGAAGTTTCTTAGTATTGACGTCAAATATATACACCATTTAACATTTTAAGTTCTTAAAAGAAAAACTGATGTTTTAAAGTAGTTTTTGAAGTGAATTTCTATATTTTTAATAAAACATAAACTATAAAAATTGATGTTTTAAATAGACAATGATCAACGTACGTATAAGCTAACTTTGTGTATTGGTTTACAAACATGAAGTATGATTACAAGTACTTATAAATTATAATTGTGATCAAAAGCCAAAGAGTAAAGATTAATCCACCTACAACTTGAATGCCAACCGAGTCTCGTGGCTCAAATGGCACCTAATTTATAATTAGGGATTTCAGAACATAAAGTAAAGCTTTTAATTTTATGTTGTTTGGGATTGTAGTACATAGTGGTTGTTTTTTTCTGAAATATTTTTTTTGTTTAAAAATATATTAAAATAATATTATTTTTTATTTTTAAAATTTATTTTTGACATTAATATATTAAAATAATTCAAAATCATAAAAAATAATAATTTGAAAATCTTTATTTTTTTAAATGTAAAAATACACACACTTTTAATCTCCACATATCTATTACTTGTTATTCGTTAGTTACCAAGACTTATGCTTGCAATATTTATGTAGGAATAGATTTTAAGGTTATTTTGTCTGGATGGAAATTAAACACAGATTTTTTATTATTATTTTTTGCTAGACTATGTTTTTTTATATATAATCTAATATTTAGAGTTCCATTCACCGCGGATTATGCTATGTGCATTACTAGAGTTCAATAAATTCTAAATTTTAATTATTATTTAATTTTAAATCTAAATGATGACATATATATAATTCACGTATTTTCCAACAATATATACGATCTATTAATTTAAACGAGATTTTCCCGTGTGGGAGATTTTTACCGCAATAGAATCATAAGGCTGCCGATTTAATTAATCTAGAATCTTAGATCAATATCAAGGGCCTTAGCAAAGAGACTTCAAAAAGATTTTCCGTATATGTGGAAACTTTAATTATTAATCGTGTAATAAACTAGTCATACTTTAAAAATAAATTATCCTTAAATATTAAAGCTCATAACTAAGTCAAGACAAATCATTCAATTTATATATTTATTTGATAATAAAAATACTTTGCGTTGATTGAGATTAAGATTAAAGGACGCGTTTCCTTATTTTTCCTTTACACCGGACTCGAAATTTTGAATTTATAAAATAAAAAAAACATGGTATTTATAACTGAGGAAGATGTTAAAATCATATATACCAGTGGAATAAATTTCTTTAGTAGAATAATGAGTTGATCAAATGTCTCTCTAAATAACTCTTTTGTTAGTGGGTGTGTGTGTCTATATATATATATATAAACTATTTTGAGGAATGTCTATCTATAAAGTACTTGCAATTTTATTTTTTTTATGTTTGAAATCCCTTTAATAATAAAGTGAATAAACTTATATAGAAAATGATATAATAAATAAGCTAAAAAACATTAAATTCTTGAAACTCGGTTGTTCATGTGTTAAGTCTATCTTTTCATGTAGAAAATTTTAAATATTTTACAGGGTAGTTTATATATATATAAATTAAAACATGTTTTTAAATTAAAAAGAAATCAATACCTCACTAAACAGATCTCCTGGTAATGAGCTTAGATAGCCTATAAACATTATATGTTTTGTGCTCCAAGAAATATATATCTTGATTCATCAATAACTCTCTGGATCATATTTATATTAAAAAAGTGTGTGTGTGTGTGTAGTTTTTATTTTTATTTTTATTTTTATTAAAAAAAAAGAATGGTTTATATCCATGGAATTAGCAAATCTTCTGCTGGTTAGATTTTTTATTTTGGTCCATGACATGGTGCTTAACACACCTTTAGTCGTTGCATGCCATTACGACCTAGACAACTTTAATGCTTTGTGCAGATATTGAAGTCAAAATACAGCCCCCACTCATCTTGGTGAGCATTTTGTCTGAAGATTTTCCTTTAGTTTCTAGTACCAGACAACCACATAGCTAGTATCTAAATATTACCGTGACCAATAAAATATTAATCTAGCAGTTAAAATATTGCTATGTTTTTATAAAAATAAAAATACAAATTTGATTTTTAAAAATTCACTTATTGAAATGAGCAGTTATAAACCTTAAACATAACTCATCTCATTTTTTGAAACAAATGTGAGATACCCAAGTAAGTATAGAAAAAATATATATATATATATATTTTAATTCAAGATATTATATTCTTTTATCAAAATTTAAAGGGTTTTTTATATAAAAAATGTCTGTTGACTTGATATTCATATGAATATTTCAAAAAAATAAAAAATAATCATTCTTACCTAAAATTACCTAAAGTTTATGGCACGTACATTCATATACCAAAACAATCTCATCACCTAACCATACAAACCCCAAATCAAATCAACTATACTCCTATCTGCCCTCTGTTTTTCCTTTCTCAGTTGTTTTACTTCCTTTTGTAGCTTTCCACCGGCCTGGTTTGAGCCGATTGGGAACTGGGGAGAAAAAAGTACCGTATATTTCTTTGATCTCTGCCATATCCCCCTTCCGATCATCAAGTCTTTGATTTCTATGCATTTTTCAACCCTAATTTCTCTGACACCAACACCACCACCTTTACCTTGTAATCTTCAACGTAATCATTATCATTGCCATTATCAATAATATCATCATGACCAACACCATTTTTATAGCAATTCAATTGATTATTAGGTTATGCCATGGTGACCATTTCTTCTACCTTTG